CAATATATATTGTTTTGTGATTAATCACTATGCTTTATGTTTAATTTATAACAATGAAAACACATCCTGCATATAAGATACTTACATTATGATTCATAACAGTAGCAAAATTAGTTATGAAATAGCAACAAAAATAATTTTATGGTGGGGGGTCATCACAACACGAGGAACTGTATTAAAGGGTCACAGCATGAGGAAGGCAGAGAACCACTGCTGTAATACCCCTTCCTGTTACATATGTATTTACTGTGGTTTGCACACCTGAGACTGTATGAGGCTGGAGAGAATACATTACTCTCTTATTCTCGTCAACATGAAAGCAGTGAGCCTTGCACGCTTTGTCTCTTTAATGTACCCCTCCATTACACAACTGCCCCTTAGGACCCCTCGGATATGGGGCTGGACCCACACATATAAAGAATGCCTTCTTTCCTTCCTTCCAGATTTTGAATTTAGTGTTGACAGATAGGCATATGTCGTACCACAAGTGTTGGCGCGTGAGCCTGAAGCAAGTTTGAACAATTCGGAACCATTAAAAATGTGCTCTCAGAACCAACCCATGCTGCGCAGTCTGGTTCGATCAGGGCCACTGGGAGCTCATCAAGTCACGACGAGGTAGAATATGCGTGTTACCTGACAAAACATGGAAACTGTGCGGATTTAAACTGCTATGTGCCATCAAGTTGGTTCTGACCCAGAGCAAACGCATGGACAGGAGAACAATAGATTGTGTGGCCCTGGATACCGTCTTTACACTCTTTCCTGCCGGAGCCCAATGTTGCTACCATGGTGTCCATCATCTTGTTGAGGCCCCTGCTCTTGTATGCTGACCCTCTACTTCTTTGAGGAGCCCTGGTGGTGTAGTGATGATGCACTGGGCTGAGATCTGAAAGGTTTGAGGTTCGAAACCACCAGCCACTCCTCAGGAGACAGACTGTTTACTTCCATACACAGTTATAACCTTGGAATTCACAGGGGCAGTTCTGGGCTGTCAGAGGCTCATTATGAGTCTGTTTGTTTATTTACTTCTTCAGGGACTAGTCCCATCTGATAACATGTGCCCAGTACATGAGAGTCTCACCATCTCCACTTCTCAGTCATTCAGGCTGTACTGCTTCCAGAGCAGATAGGAAGTCTACCTCTGTGTTAATAAAACTCAACAGTAACTCCAACAATTATTTAGGACCTAGACCAAAACAATTGGGAAGGGGTGCAGATTAAGTGGCGATTAGTATTTCACTACTGATAGCATTTAGAATTGCTAGTGTTAATAAAATACTGTTAGGTAGCTAGCTTAGGAACAGGGGATTGTCCCGCCCCTGACTACAAAGGCCCCCAGAGAGGAGGTTGGAAAGAAATCAGGGAACCATTAGACACCTATGAAGACCCCAAACTGAGCATGCTGGTACTCAAGCCCCTGAGCCAGGTGGGAGGTACACCGGGGAGGGTCAAACTAGGCCCAGGTTCATGACATCACCCAGGTGGGCCTAACTCAGCCAATAGGGTCAACCAATATGAACAATGACACCTTCCCCAAGTCAGGGGGTGGGCTGGAATAAAGGGAGAGAGCACACTCTGGGATGCTCTTACCCTGCTCCTGGTCAGAGGAAGGTAGAGGGGGCAGGTCTCTCTCCACTGTGCAGATGCACCTGCACCTGCTCCAGGTCTACTTGAGGCCCACAGCATCTTGGCCATGTGCTTTCAGACTTTAGGGTTCTTGGGCCTCTGGTGATCCCCCAAAATCTGCACGCATGGGTGCTCTTTTCCACGTGGTTGTTCTGGCCCAGTTGTGAACCCCTTTGAGACTGTAAAACTGGAAACTTGTCCTGCCCTTCATAAAAACCCACATGGATTACAAAACAGGCTTCGGCGTGAATTCTTTCATCATGCGAAGCCAAGAACCAAGGTTATTACCGACTCCGGAAACCTAACAGTATCTTTTCTCCCTTTTTAACAAACCAAGTACACTTTTGGTCAGCTTTTCATTTTGATTTTTATAGACAGTGTGTTATATATTGAATTATGGCCCCCAAAAGTTATGTTGCAGTCCTAACTCCTGGTACCTGGCCTTTGAAAAGAATGCCTTTGAAGATGGTATGAAAGGATGCTATTCAATGAACTTAACCTATCCAGGAGTAAGGTAGGTCCTAATCCAATCTAAGTAGTGCCCTTCTAATAAGAGACACAGAGAAAGAGGATGGCCAGGTGTACTTAAAAGCATCTAAAGATTAGGAATTCCCAGGGCTACCAGATGCTGATGTCAGAAGGCACCTGGCGGGTCCACATGTTGATTTAGACACAGAACACCCGGAACTGAGACAGTAAACTTCTGCTGTACTGTGTGGTCCTGGACACAAGAGGGCGATTCCTCTGAGCGTGAGTTGTTTCCACTGCTCCGGTGTGTCTGCAATGGATCCAGCACCTTCAAATGACACCCTCCCAACAAGATCCGCTAAGTCTCCAACCCTCACTCTTCTCATCTGTGACTCACAGGTTGGCGACCCAGAAAACCTCTTTGAATTTGGTATTCCCATTTAAACGCAAATGCTTCCCCTGAATTGGGACTGCGTCTTCACGCTCGTGGATGGCAGTGGGCACCTCACTGCCATGGGCCCTTCGGCTCAGGTGTTCTCAGGGGTAATTTCATGAACGGTTTCACAGGTCCCTGCGCTGCCAAAGTCCCACCCTTTAGCACACGAGGGGTGGGTGGCCTTTCACTGCTCTCTGCCCTAACCAAGCCAGCTAGCCAGCCATCTTCCTCAGGAAAGTCACCTGCACCTCGATTTGGTTGGTACCAATTTATGGTTGCTAACCCACTCTAATTCAAACCTACATCACAGGAGCGCTGTGGTGTCACCATCAGGTCTGACTGGCAGAGCCGCACGTACCTGCTCCTAGGGAGCCCGAATGTGTGCAGGGTCAGCTGCCAGAGGACTTTCTAAGTGGGCTCCGCCTTCCCAGGAGGCAGTAGGATTTTCTCTCCAAACCGGAGGCTTCACATACAAACGACCAGGTGTTTCGTCGGAGATGGCCTTGGGGAGGCTGACCTGTGTGCGATGTAACCGAGAAAATGGAAACTTGGTCACCAGGCTCTGAAAAGCTGGCCTAGAGCCTGGAAAACAGAAGCCCTGGCGTGTTGGCGTGTCTGCCGGAAGGTTTCTGGTCAGTTAGGGATATCCCGACTCCTCCTCTGGGTGAGCACCAGCAACTGCCAGGGTGTTTTACTTTCCCCTCAACATGTCCTCGTGACCATCTATTTTACAGGCCAGAAACTGAGTTGCATGGGGGCCAATGACACTTCCAAGGTGATTCCCGGGTCAGGAATACCGCAGCAGAGGTGGATTTCACAGGCAACTGCTGCTGAGAGGCAGACCATGAAGCTCACCAAGCGGTCTCCCTGCAACGCCTACGCTTCGCAGACCTAGGTCAGTTTCACAGAGCTGCTTCCCAGGACCAGCACCTGATGAGCCACCATGGACCCCTGGGCTGCTGGCTGTCTCTCGTCTTTGGTTATGAGGGGCAGCCCTCAGTGGAGAAAACCAGTTCCAAACCCTCGTAACTGAAAACCAATCGCACCTCAGCAAGGGCTCCATTGGGGCTACAAGCAGTCCCCAGGGTGGCATTTCTCATTTTATCAGTGGCAGCCTAGTGACGCAATGGTTAAGTGTAACACACCTAGCAACTCAAGACCCAAGTATCTGCTCTCGCAATGAGCACAGCCTACTCTGACCATGGACCCAAGATGTGCACACCCTCGCTAACGTGCAGAACGCATCAGAAGGTAGATTGTTGCAGATGCCGTTAGGTTAAAACCATTAGGTTAAAACTGAGCAACTTATCATTTGATTTCCTTCCTGATCCATTTAAGTTTGTTCTGGTTTTTAGTATTTTTTCCTTTCCGATTGAGGTTTTTTTATGTTTTATTTTATTATCTTTTTTAAAGAATATATAAGATCCAGGATAAATCAATCTACAGAGAAAGCAATTGGGAGTAATGGCTCCTTAGGGGCATGCAGGGACGTGGAAGGGAAACGGAAAGCCAACAATGAGCACAAGAACGGAGAAAACATTCTACAATGGATCGTGGTGCTGAGTGCACACGTCTTCTGATAAGTGAACCATTGAATGTGTGAATTATGCCATTAATTCTGCTGGGGCTAAAAAAAAAGGTTGCAGTCTAGAAAACCTTAAGGGACAGTCCTAACCTCTCACGTGAAGTCACTGTGATTGGAATGGGGCCCACAATTACCTATGGAAAAGGGAGGGGGCTTCTCTGCTTCTCCAGCCTGTCTTGGCTTTGAATCCAGGCAGAATTGGTCACCTGGAGCAGTCAGGTCTGCTCAGGTGGTAGTATTTCTGTAATATAGCTAAGGTATCGATCAGTCTTGGTGTTACTAATGTTGGCCTCTCCTGGGCAGATGAAATGAACAATCAGAGTCTGTTGGCTCCCACCAATCTGAAGGTGGCCTTGACCAGATCCATCCTCGTTTGTGGCTGCTTCTCAGCTTCCCCAGGGGAACGGGACCAGTGCCACCCCCAAAAGGACAGTGTATTCAGGATGAGAGGATTTTTCACTAGAGAGCAGGGGAGGAGGATATCCTACATATTAACAACAAAATAGCCGAAACACCCCACAATGAAGTCCTCGTAAATGTTCCTGTTGGACTTAGAAATGAATTATACTAAATATGCATTTCTAAAATTAGTGATAAACAGACATATCATAGGTGGTATAAATAAAAAGTTCTCAGGTTAAGAAACAAATCCTCACGTTTTCCAAATGTCCATCAGAACTTGTGATTTCCTAATACGGCACTGCCTGCCAAATCTGGGTACCCAGCCATCGGGCCAAGAAGTCTGAAGGTAGCATTGAACTTCGTATAAGATATGGAGACTAAAAATTAAAAAAAGACATGGAGACTCCAGAAGCCCAAGTTTCTTAGCTTGTGACACACTGGAGGGCGGAGGGTCATGAATATTCAGTGCTCCACACTACTACATAATGCTGCATTTCTCGATTTTATTTGAAACAGTGCATATTTGTAGCATTTTATGGTAGGATTTTACACTCATCATTTACACAAATTACAAGGTTCTGCTTCAAGTCTTTAAAAAAAAATCTAAAAATCCAGCCCATGTGCAGCACAATATGCAAAACTACTTTACATTATACACACTTTTTATCAAAGGAGATACAAAATTCTGGCTTGTAGTTTTAGACAAATACAAGAAGCTTCAAACTAGACACAAAGGAGTAACATTAATTTTCAAATGTAAGTCTGCACTTTTGTGTTGTAGTTCTCTGAGATGTGAATACCAAATTCCTAAGGGATTCTGTTTTCCTTTCCCAAGGAAAACGGACACACTTCCCTTATACAAGTCCCTCCCACCAGCTTACCTAATTCCCCGCCTGCTCTTCCTTCCCGGGAGTGCTGGAATGAGTTGCATCTGGCCAGTAGGCAGGAGTGGGCCTTTCTCACCCTCCTGCTGACGCTGGCCACTCGCAGATGCTGCAGAAGAGAAGGTGCCTCCACCCCTGATGCTGAAGAGGACTGGGCACCCCAACCATCTAGCAACCGGCGCTGCTGGGGAAGTGGGAGCAAGAGGGAAGGCAGGCCCATCCCCATGCACTCTGCTGGGGGAAAATCGTAACGATCAAGCTGTCTGATGCCAAGTCTTCCTATACAGAACATGCCCATCGGTCGCTGAGGGACTTCTCTGGTACTTATGCATAGATACTCTTTTCAGCATGTTGGAGGCAATATCTTATATTTTCCTTCTAAAGGGTTCTAAGAGGCAACAAGAAACAATGAGGGGCCGGAGAGGTGTTTCCTGCTTTAAAAAAAGATATTATTCTCTCTCCATCTTTTGATGCTTTAAATGTCTATCAGCATAATTAAAAGAATTACTTATCTTGATCAGTCAACAGCCAGCAGAGTCCACGCGAATAATTATCCTTTCAAACACAGTTCACTTTCACTGTTTCATACCCCATGTTGTCTATGCCCTGTCAAGACTAACTTACAACCCATACTCTCATATCCTTAGGCTGGCACGGGCTGTCTGCACAGATACTGAGTGAGCACGGGCCAGGGCTCCAAGGCGAAGCCTGCAGGGTGAGGACAGAGGGCAGAACAGGATGCTGACAGGATGCTCCCCACTCGCCTGCCTTCATTGCTGCCTGTAGCAATCACATGAACAAGAGAGCTGATTGTAACTGGTTCTTTACTTCTGTGCCTTTAGCCCTTTCACAAAAAACAAAACAACCCAAAATGATTAAAAAGGACTACCGTATGACATCTAGAAGCATTTATTTTCTGCAATCATTAAATATAACTGATATGTGTACCCAAAAAATACACACATCACCTATGCTGAGCAATGCCAAGAAACATAATCTATTGATGCCACAATTATCTTCTAAAATGAGAATGGAGCCCAGATCGCAGACAGAAGCAAAACACTGATTTCCAAATACCACAATGCTGAAAACTGAGAGCAGTCCTAAACACCTCCAGCTTTCCTTACAAGCTGCCAAAGTCCAGCTATTAAAAACAAAGCAAAACAAAAAAACACCCTTTTTTTATAACATCAGTAATAAAAATCTGGTGACAAACACTATAAAACCAAATGCGGATAGCCTTTAACTCCTTTAAAATTCCAACCATTCTAATAATCACAGGAGTAAAAACCATTTTAAAGTAATATGCTTTATAAAACAAACGATATGTACATTTATTGAAAATTATATTAAACTAAAATGGAGGGGAAATAAAAAAATGTTACTACTTGCAAATCAATAATAATTTTAATTCTTTTTCACTCTGATAAAAATCAGAAAGCAACGTTTATAAAATCGCCACCACATCACTTTTCATAGCAGGGAACTGCAGTCTGTACATCTCATTTTTGCAGAAAAGTAGGCAGGCAGAAAGAATTATACAGAAGTTTCCAAAAGGAAAAACAAAGCAATATTTAATCTGATCTCTTCTTAAAAATTAACTCAGTAGACTTTCTTTTTCTTGTGAAACATGGGAATTCCTGGCTCTAAAATTGATGAATTTTCAATGTCAGTGTAAGGACATCCTGTTACTTTCTTTAAAATAAAAAAATGCAGCATGAAAATTAATGGTGTATCACGCGCTTTAAACTCCAGATATGCAGGAACTGGAACCAAGTGTTAAGCAATTTGCTTAATTATTGACTTTTCCCGAGAAAAGTCTGGGGAGGGGCAAGGAGGGAGGATGGAGTTGCTCTTAGCGACTCTCCAGTTTCTGCTGTACATTTCCACTGAAGGACGTGTGGCCGTGTGAAGGGAAAGGAAGTTTCTTTCAGTTTTCAAGGCAGAAAAGTATGTGTTCTCTAAAAGTTAACTTTCTCTTCAGGGACACTGTGAATCCAGGTTGTCGCAGAAGCCAGACCCTGCTTCTGTTTGGCCTTCATTTTCTCCCTTTGCAAATGGATTTTCTTCTTACCTTGGGGAGAGGAGTCAAGGGAAAGCAGAGAGTTAAAAATAACACATACAAGAAACCAAACCAGATCAGAATGATGTCAGCTTCTAGAGTTGTCGTCCAAAGGCCTTTTCTCCTTTCCCCCTGAGGCGTCACTGGTTCAAAACAATATAAACCACCATTGGGGCCCTATTGTTCTAAGCAAGTATTTCTTAAAAGTCCCTGTGGGCACTCGATCAATCCAGGGGGGCTGCAAAAGCAGATACCTACACTTTATCCTGGATTATGGGCTAAAGCACCACAGTTTTTAATCGCCAGGGGGGTGCTGAGCAAATTTTGTGTGTGAAATGGGGGTGAAGTAGTAGGCCAAATACGTTTAGGTACCTATATTCCCATCCCTAAGTGCTATTTTCTTACACCAATAAGTTACTTATTGGAAATGTTATACCTTGATATTTTTACAGTTGGTATCACAGAAGAAAAATCTTACTGGACAATATGGCAAAATGAATATATGTTCAAAAAGTTCATGGCAAAAAGGAATGGATTTTATTTTCCCATAAACTTTCTGAAGCCTCTCATAGAAACAATAAAACAGGGTGGGGTTTGATTTCTGAACTGAGCGAACACAAAACAAAACAACCCACCCACCCACCAGGAGAACCCTGCTTTGTTTTTCAGGTTAGAGGGCATCCCGCAGGTGGACCCCGAGGGCAAGTTCTGACCCCTGGGAGTCCGCCCGTGGAGGTGGGCGCTGATGTTCGCTGACAGCTGAGACTGGGGGAAAGGACCTGAGAGCATGCTGGGCTTGGCCTCCTCCCTACTCTTCTGCTTAGAAAGCTGCAGGAGGATGGGGCCCCAAGCAGGCTTTAATTTAGGGGCAAGGAATTAGCACTCCACATCGCCAATGTAAAAACCAAAAGATTCCATTGAGTCAAATTTGATAGGCCACCTCACTTTTATCGATTCTTTTATAAAACATGATGTCCTTTTCTACCAAGTGAGCATGTCCAAAGTGTGTGATCTAAAGTCATAAGCTAGAACTCACAAAAGGTAAACTGTGTGCCCACACCAAGTTTCTGGAAACACAGGTTGAATGTCAAATCCCTCTCGGGAAGTATCTGTAGTTACTGGGAGCTAGACCAGCTGATGAGAACCTTGTGGATCCCAGTGCTCCAATTCTGTAGTCCATGGGCCACTGGGAGTCAGGGGCAGGGTCTGCATTAGCTGCTGAGGCACGTGGACTGAAGGCAGTGTGGAACTCTAGGTAGAATTCACCATGTGATCTGAGAGAAGTAATCTTTTCGATCTTAATTTCCTTACCCATAGAGTCATACAGGGTGGCTTCGAAATATTCATTAATTACATTTTCCCCACAACTTAAAAAAATTTGTTTATGGTTACTGGCAGGATAAACCCATGTTCAAGAAGATGTCTTTTATTATTTTTTGTATGTATGAGATGAGGAGTTGACTAGGATAGACCCCTAGAAGCCCCTCAGACAATTCTAGCCAGTACCAAAGTACTACTCAACTTCGTGTAACTGAAATTCATTTTAGGGAGTAAAGCAACTAGAATTGAAATGACAATCATTTAGGGGCCTACGATTTAAGAACGCAGAATAAAAGAAGGGTGGGGCTAAGCTCTAACAGTACAGCCGTAGAGAACAACTACACTGACAGGGGACAGTTTAGAGAATCTGAGATTGTAGTTCAAGGGTGACCCAAGAGGAGCAATTCTGAATTTGCTTCCTGGGAGGGAGGGAAACGTTAATCTATGTCAGGATGAACTGTAACAAGAGGAATCCGTTCAAGGGCGGGGTATTCTTGGTCATGCTTCATGGCTTCCATCTCCTTCATTTTGCCATCTCTGCATGCCACACAACCATTTGCAAAACACCAAGTAAAAGATAACATTCCCCTTGATAATAAACAGAGGCCCCACACTACCAAGCACCACTTTAAATTAAGCACAGAGGGGAGAATGCTATCCAAATTTTTGTCTTAATGCTGGGGACAAAGGCTGAGGTGTTTGGGGTTGACTGATACAAATTAGTAATCGACAAAGCGTCTCAAGGCATAGTCTGGGATGGACAGTGGGTGCTACCTTTGTAAATCAATCTGCCTCTCGGGTGGCACTGCCTTCTTGGCTGCGTCTTGCAACTTGGGTGCTTTGGCATTGACTGCTTCCAACCCCCCAGGGCTTTCCTGACTGGCCGGGGCTCGCTTCCTGCCCTTGCCAGCAGGTTTATTCATGTCATCGTTTTTGGTTGCATTGCCCTGAGACTCAGACTTGGGTCGCCGTCCTCTCCTGGGCTTGGAAGGGGCAGGTGGTCCCGATTCATCCACTTTCTCATCCGTTTGCTGCTGAATATTCTCCGCCCCAGCGGCAGCTGCCGTTCTCTTCTTGGCCCGCTCACTGCTGATGGGGACCGGGGTGGCCGGGTCAGAGTTGATCTCCTGAAAGAGCACACGCCAATCCTATCAGCACAAGTTCTTAAAACACGAACAAGCTGTACTGGAAAAAGGGATTTAGAAATGATCTTAAAGGAATTGGGACTCTAGGTTTTCTGGTTCATTGCTTCTGTGCCATCAGGTCTGTAAATAAAGTCCTTAAAGGTAGGGGCTAGGCTCAGATGTATGCCACATATAATTTGTTCAGTAAACGCTTATAAAAACATACAGGCAATATATATAAAATACACAAGATCTGCTTAGCTTTGGTTTCGACCCATTTCAAATTGAAAGGGTGTTTCCCTCCAAATCCATAATTAAAAAAAAAATAGGTGCATATTCAAAGTGCTATATTTTCTCAAGGGTATTAATTTGTGGTGTAGCCGGGTACATGTTGGGCTGCTAGCCATGAGGTCAGCAGTTTGAAACCATCACCTACTCCTTAGGAGAAAGATGAGGCTTTTTATTTTTATAAAGATTTACAGTCTCTATACCTACAGGGGCAGTTCTACTCTGTCTTAAAGGGTTGCTATGAGTCAGAATTGACTTGAAGGCAGTGAACATATTTTTCTTTATTATGTATCTAAATAATTATTTATCTTTCTGTGTTACGAAGTTCTTTCTCTCTACTACCACACGTAAGTCATTCTGTACAAAGAATTTTAATGACAATAATCATTAATCTTCTCCTTTTGCTAGTAATTTCCTTTTTTTCCTTCCAGTTTTGCATTATGATATACACTATAAAGTTATCTCAAATACTCACAAGTAATAAAATTACATTTCAATACAAAAAAGACCCAAAACAAAACCCACAATGGACAAGCACAAAATATAAGTAAATAAAATAAATTAAAAGTGCTAAGAGTTTGTTAAAGAATTGATCTTTGGGGAAAGGATTATTTACCCTGTGACAAGAGAAGTGGTGGGTTCCAGAGAGACTAAGCAACTGGCATAAGTAGCTTGACACAAAGAGGTGGTAGATTTTCAGTTTAGACATGAGGAAGGAGCCCTGCTGGGGCTAAGTGAAAGGCTGGCTGCTGGAACCTGTCAGCTTCCTCCTGAGACAAAGACAAGGCAGGCAGGCACCTTCCCTATAGCTGTAGTCTTGGACACCTAGTGGAGCAGTTCTTCGTGCCACACTGGGTCTCTATGTGTTGGAACAGACCAAGGAGCAGGTTTGTTTTTATTGGCTGGACTATATAAGGAAATATAGGACATATTGAGAAATTTGGTTTAAGAAAGCTGATGGTGCTTGGCTATCAAAAGATATAGAATCTGGGGTCTTATAGGCAAACAAGCGGCCATCTAGCTCGGAAGCAACAAAGCTCACATGGAAGAAGCACACCAGCCTTTGTGGTCACAAGTTGTTGAAGGGATCACTGTCAGGCATTAAAAAACAAAAAATCTTACATTGTGAATGAGGGGGAGTGCGGAGTAGGGACCCAAAGGCCATCTGTAGGCAACTGGACATCCCCTTACAGAAGGGTCACAAGGAAGAGACGAGCCAGTCAGGGTGCAGTATAGCACCGATGAAACATACAACTTTCCTCCAGTTCTTAAATGCGCCCCCCCCCCCACCTCCGGCCCCCATCATGACAGCTATATGATGATTGGATAGGAAGGGAGGAAAAACTGAGAGAACAAAATCATTATGAAAGAATGTAAGTCAGAAATGAAAATACATTAACAATGGACAAAATATGAGCAGGAAATCCACAGAAGAGCACACTTGGATGGCTAACAAACAGCAGGCAATGGCGAGCTGACTGGTTGCTAGTACGCACAACAGTGCGTACTGTTCAGAGAGAGGGGTTACGTTTTCGCTTTAAAAAGTTTATTGTGGTAAAATGTATATGACAAAAACTCTACATTTCAATTATTTTAATGTGTACAATTCAGTCACATTAATAGCTGAATATCCTATACAAATAACATGAAGTACCTTAAAAAATTCTGCGAAAATGTCTTTATCTGCTGAGGAGCACTTACCGTATATACTAGAGAATAAGCTGAGTTTCCCCAGCACATTTAGGTGCCTTGGTGGATATTTGGGTCAGCTTCTACTCGAGCATATATGGTAGGTGGTTTCTACCTTTTGTGACTACTGCTGATAGGAACAGTGATAGAGTTTTCTGTTTGAGTCCCTGCTTCCGAGTCTTTGGGGCCTACACCTAAGAGGAGAATTGATGGGGGGGTCATCGGGTGGTTCTATTGTAGTGTTTTGAGGAGCTATCGCCTGCCCCACACCCCCCTCCCAGTAGCTGTTCCACATTACCTTCTCACCAGCAATGCCTACGGGAAGATTAAGCACAGTGACCTCTGTTATTGGTGGAGATGTAGAAGACAAAACTCTCATGCTCAGGTGGTCAAACGTCCCACGTTCCAGTATGAAAATACCACGTCTCACCTGTCAGACTTTACCGACCAGCACCCAACACCCAAACCAATAAGGGCAAATACATAAGATATTCATTGCAACGTTGTGTCATCAAATCAAAAAGGAAAATAAAGTATGTAGGTGTATATATAAAGAAAAAATAAAGCAAGTAGAGAACAACATAGACACATACAAATTATAGTGCTTAAAAAAACTACTAACAACCACTCACAATCATATTTACGAAAACCTCATGCTTGGTAAAATAGAGGACGATTACTGACAAGCTGTACTGAAAACCAGTGGACACAGACAATGGGCTCAAACATGAGAACATTTGTGAGGACAGCGCAGACGGGGTGGGAGGGGGGTTGTTCAGCTGTATATAGGGTTGCTACGAGTCGCAAGGGACTCACTAGCACCTAACAACAACACATAAAAAAAACATACCAAAACCAAGGGAAGGAATCACCGGGAAGTTCTAAAAAACAAAACACCCCCCGGGCCCCCAACTGCCATCAAGTTGATTATGACTCATAGTGACCCTATTTAGGGTTGTCAAGACTGTAAGTCTTCATGGGAGCACACGGCCTCATCATCTTCTTGCTGAGAAGTGGCTGGTGGGTTTGAACCACTGGGCTCCTGGCTAAGCAGGGCTCCTGGCCAGCTATAAGTTATAGGTATGGAGAGAAGGAAGACTTTTTCACACAAACTTAATGGGGGCCTGATGAGACACAATCAAGCCTTGCTGAATATATAATCCCCGTCTCTTCAGGTAACAGCAAATTTAACACAACATTCTTTGGAAGTGCTAAAGCCATTATCATCCTATAGATGAATTAGAAAATAAAAGTAACAGGGAATCCAGGACGGATGAGCCCTATAGGACCAGTGGTGTGAGTGGCAAAACAGGGAGGGTAAAGGGAGAATGGGTGGAAAGAGGGAACCAATTACATGGAACTGTGTGTGACCTCCTCCCTGGGGGACAGACAACCGAAAAGTGGGTGAAGGGAGACGTCGGACAGGGCAAGATATGACAAAATACCCATTTATAAACCATCAAGGGCTCATGCGGGAGGGGGGAGCAGGGAGGGAGGGGAAAAATGAGGACCTAATGTTGGGGGTTTAAGTGGAGAGAAAATGTTTTGAGAATGATGTACAAATGCACTTTACACAATTGATGTGTGTATGGATTGGGATAACAGTTGTATGAGCCCCTAATAAAATGTTAAAAAAATAAAATAAAATAAAAGTATAGCCACTTGGAAAGTTAGAATTAAGAAACCCATTGATGGGAATCATGTATAGATTTTACTAGGTAGACACACAAGAGCCTTTCTAACACTCACAGATGGGAACTTTCTCTGGCAGTTGCTGTAAACATCAAAGTATCTGCATTCCCATCGTCGCTGTCATCAGCTACTGCTGATGTGATGCCCACAGGAGGTATGTAGTTCTGCACAGTCCTGCATCAGGTCTGTGTTTGGCTGTGGACTGAACTGTTGTGATCCACAGGGTTTGAGCGGCTTATTTTTACAAGTAGATCACTAGTCCTTCCTTCCTAGTTTTTCTTAATCAGGAAACTCTCCCGAACCTGCTCAGCATCACAGGAACACTCAAGCCTCTACTGACGGATGGCTGGTAGCTGTGCACAAAGCCCAGTGACCTAGAATCAAACCTGGATGTCCTGCCCAGAAGGTGGCAACTCTGTCACCGAACCACCACTGCTTCCTCATATCACCTCTTCATAGGTAATGTACAAGGCTAAGTCAAGAAGAACTGCTCACAGAATTCTAGTATATGCCTACATAGGTTAACTTCAAACAAAATATGCTTACACATGTCTCTACAATCAGTGAATGGCTACAGACAAATCCTCTCAGTAATAATACACTTGTCTTAGAGTCACGAGGGTGGTTCTAAAAAAACAACCAAAACCCCAAATGTATACTAGAATAAAACAGCATCACTTGAAGATCACCTACCTCAAGGAGCCGATCGATCAAAGATATTGAGCTCATTTTATGGTCTGAATCATAAGCAGGGACAAGTCCTGGATTTACCGATACGATCCAGAGAGCAAGGTTTAATCAGGACAGTGGTTACTGAGGGAACTGCTGGGCAGGTTAAAATCAAAGCCACGAGTGCAACTGAGAAGAGTATGGGGGCGGCTGTGTCTTGCGACTCCAAAGGGACAAGCTGTTAGCTTTTTCATGAGGAACACAAGGCAATCGTGGGGACTCATTACACAGACATTTTAAGAAACGGTGAGCCAGGAAAGATATGCTGAGGAATATTTTTCATCATGACCATGCACTTGCTCACTCTTCGGGGGTAGCAAGTCCTATGAGAATGTCCTTGAGAAATCTGACCATACCCACCACTTCAGACTTCTCTAAATACAAGAAATTATTCGGAGGGGGATGGGGGTGATGGAAAAAAAGTATCCATATACATCCAGTTTCAGGGTTCAAGATATTGACAACTTGTGTAGCAAGAGTTCAGGTATCGTGGAGTAACTATATATTCCTAGAAAGAGCCCTGGTGGCGCAGTGGTTAAGTGCTCGCCCATAAACCAACACTTGAGTGGTTTGAACCAGCAGCTGCTCTGTTGTCCTAGTATATTTATGCATTTGAGGACAAGAATACCAAAAGTATTTGATGATCATTATAAGCATATGGTGGGCAACAAAAAGACAAGCTTGTCAAGAATATGATTCTCTGAGAAGAGAAATATTTGTGGTATCTTCATAACATGTCTACTGAGCTATGTCATATCTCACTGAACAGCTGAATGGCACCTAAGAGAAACCCATCCTCCCAAGTAAACCCAGCAGCGAGAGGAGTGGCAGAGCCAGGATTATCATCAGGGTTCAGACTCAGGTCTGTCTGTCTCATGTGCCACCAACTAGGTTACCGTCCTTTCTCTCATGCAAAATGTGGTGCCACAGTAAGCAGGTCGTCAATCTTAGAACTCAGAAACAAAAATTTAAAAGCAAAACTGTAAAATTTAGCACTCAAAAATTAATTTTTTGGATACAAAAGTATTCATTTTATTTTATTTATTTACTGAAGTGGGAAAGATTTTATTGAGGCAGGGAAAGAACTCCCGGGAGGGGAGAGCAGAGAAGGACCGGGGCATCTTGAGCCCGCAGGCGGGTTCCGAGACCCAACGAGTTAGGTGAGGGAAATCGCCAAAAGTATTCATTTTATAAACTGCATATCTGAAATAGAATAGCTACCTGTCTCTCCCCACACATAATAAAAACATACAATGTCACTACTTTAAAATACTCAATTTGTAATTTTTTAATATTAAGAATCTGTACTAAGTGAAGTTTATATCAGAAAACATGCCCTCTTCCCCATTAATACTAAAAAAAGCTTTTAAATGAAGGCACCAACAAGAATTTCAGATGGTACAGAATTTATTTCTTGAGTTAAACTCATTAAAAAAAATTGTAGAAAACATACAAAGGAGTTTCAAAAGGTTCATGGAAAACTTCCATTAATCTTTCTATGTTTTCACAAACTTTTGGAAGCCCTTGTGTATATTATAAAACATTTGGCAATTCAACAATTTGTACAACGCAGCAAAAACTGTTGGTGTTCATTACGCTGTGCACACCCCTTCCCCCCACCTTCCTTGGGGTCACTCTAGTCACTGAAGAAACCCAGCATTTCCCAACCAAGGGCTTCCATTGCTTTCCCTCCCACTCACCCCCTTTTGAAAATGAGAAACAAGAGTACTTTATCAAGAATTATAAACACTTAAATCCTCTTTTTCAAGGTGTTGGGGAGAGGCAGCATGGGGAAGGAGGCCTTGACGTGACCCTCTATCAACGTGTATAAAACAAAGTTGGCAGAGAGTTCTGGAGAGCTGAAGCACAGAGTAAAGGTTTAATGCACAGTGCGCGCGCGGTAGCATCCTGCTCTGGAGTCTTACTATAAAGGTGTAATATGAATCTCCATGGGAGAGAGCCACTTGTAAATTTAAAAAAATTACCTTATTCTTTACTGGGTCAATGTTCTTTACTGGTGTGACAGAAATAATTCTCACAGGGTTCTCTTCATTTTCACTAACGCCAGTTTCTGCTGCCTCTGAACTCTGTTCCCTGTTGAAAATATAAACAAGGTTTCTTTATTTCACCACAGGAAGAACGTTTACTCTCTCAATACACAGATAAGGAGATGGAGTTTAGAGACTTTGCCAAGTCAAGCAACAGTGAACAAGATTTGGATCTTCTGTTGTTATAGATCATTGGTTTATCAAACTTGGATTTCCATTTAATTGTAACAACTAAGACAAAAATAACTGCTTAAAATCTACCTGGCTAAAAGACTGGTCATCTAGAAATAAGAATTACAGCTATTTAAAGCCATATCTCTTAGTGAGGTTGGAGACTAAAACCCTAAACCAAAATTACATGTGTAGCTCATAGTATACCGGAGTTGACCCTAGTTTGTGTTCTTCATATTATGTAGAGTTATGTTGCAGACGGACAAGTAGGAAAGGCAATATGGCAGATATTCAAGCATTCCCATCTCTTTAACTCTAAGTTATTTATTAATATTTATTTTTAATCGTTTTATTGTGGTTCACACAGCTGTTACCACAGTTCATCCATCTATCCTTGTGTCAAGCACATTTGTTGTCATCATTTTAAAAACATTTTTTTTCTACTTGGGCCCTTGGCATCAGTTCATTTTTCCCCTCCCTCATGAACCCTTGATAATTTATAAATTATTACTATTTTGTCTCATGTCTTTTAAAAAATAAATCATTTTATTTGGGACTTGTACAACTCTCATCACAATCCACACATCCATCCACTGAGCCAAGCCCACCTGTACACCTGCTGCCATCATCACTTTCAAAACATTTTCTTTCTATTTGAGCCTCTGGTATCAGCTCCTCATTTTTTCCTCCCACCCCCTGCCCTCATGAAGCTTTGATAATTTATAGATTATTATTATTATTTTCATGTCTTACACTGACTGATGTCTCCCTTCATACAACTTTCCGTTGTCCATCCCCTGCGAGGGGGCGCTGTAGGATATCATTGTGGTCGGCTCCCGTTTCTCCTCCAATCTTCCCCTTCCCCTTCTGTTATTGCTACTCTAAGGGGTTTATCTGCTCTGGATCTCCTGTGTTTACAGCTCTGTCTGTACCCGTGTACAAATCCACGTACACCCAGATTTGTAAGGTGGAATTGGGATGATAGTGGGGGGAGGAAGCATTAAAGGACTAGAGGAAAGCTGTATATTTCATTGGAGCTATACTGCACCCTGACTGGCTCATATCTTCCTTGTGACCCTTCTGTAAGGGGATGTCCAACTGTCTACAGATGGGCTTTGGGTCTCCTCTCTGCACTCGCCCTCATTCACATTAATACGATTTTTTTATTCTGGGCCTTTGATGCCTGAACCTGATTCCATTGACACCTCATCATCACACAGCTTGGTGTGCATCTTCCATGTGGGCTTTGTTGCTTCTGAGCTAGATGGCCGCTTGTTTGTTTTCAAGTCTTTAAGACCCCAGCCACTATATCTTTTGATAGCCAGGCACCATCAGCTTTCTTCACCACATTTGCTTATGCACCCGCTTTGTCTTCAG